GAATTTTTCACAGACATTGTCTAACCTTTATAGAATTAAGTATGCAAATTTATTGAAATTAAATCCTGCAATTTTTTAAACGAGGAGCCAAAAATTTAATAGTTCTTAATTAAGAAAAAAAAAATAAAAACTTCTATACGCACAACATTATTATTTTTTGGGGGGTTTTGATAGTATTTTTCTAAACTTTAATCTTATGTCTAAGTATTAATATTTTTTCAATTTTTAAGAAAACAAAATATTTTTTTTTTAATTTTCATAAAACCAACACCAACACATTTCATAAAATTCTTTCAATTGCGTTTAACCCCGAACTGCAAAATTTTCTGTTCTCCTATACATATACAAAAACTTATGTTGTTTAACATTTCCAATACTTGTTTCTTAATTTTAATTCTATTCCGAAGTACTCAGTTGTTAATTCATATTTAAGCTTAGTATAAAAATGGCTTTCAATGAAAACGAAAAATACATATAAAAAGATTTTCTATAAAATTTTAGTTATTCACTCTTAAGAAAAAATGCTCGTATATATGTATATTTCTTCAACAAAATTTACAGCAAGAGCAAAGTACTTCTCTCTTCATGATTTTCATGAGAGTTGTATACATTGTTATTACAAAAAAATTATATACATATCGAGCTTTATAAATTTTTATTGCAAAAAAATTATGTTTATGTACATATCGAGGCCTTTTTTCGAGCAAAATTATCGTATCTATCATTTTTTCGAAATTGGCTTGTTGATGCAAGCTTGTTCTACACTCCACAACGCATTACTTGGTAAAATATTGTAGCTAAAATCCTTGCAGTTATGCCAAAAATTTACTATATATTTACTAAATTTTTTTTTTTTTGAGGGTGAAATTATCGTATGTGTCATACAAAAGTATTTTGCACATTAAAAAAATAAAATAAATGAGAAAATTCAAAAAGTTTTACAAATTAGAATAAAGGTTTATTGTAAAATTTGGTTACTGGCACACACGATAGTTTTGCGCAAAAGGGTTGATATATTTCTTTAATTTTAGACAAAAAATAAAAATATTTTTTTTTATTTTTTGGTTATGAATAAACTTATTTTTTTTTTTAATATTAAACTTATATATTCTTGAACAATCTTTTCGCAAAATCTAGTTTCAAACCTCTTATGCTTCTTCAGTGGATTTTAATAGTGGTTTTGTTGCTAATAATCCCAAAATAATATTTTTTTTTTTTTGGACTTTGGACAATTCCAGAGTACTATTATATTTATTGTTCATTTTTCATTTTGCTCAAGCATAACTTTTTAATGTCAACAAAAACTAAAAAAATGCATAAATTCAACAAGTTCTGCCTACAATAATAATTTGCCAAACAAAAAATGTCTGCAATGAATTTCGGCAGTGATGTTTCCAGCAATTTCAAATTACTATTTTAATTTTATGTTTAAATATGATTTTTGAAAACTTTTTTTTCTCAACGTTTTTACAAAGTTATCAATGCAGAGTTTATTCAAAAAATTAAATGCTTTTAAAATATATATGCTTATCGAAATGTTCCTAGTCACAATTTTACATATACATATGTTAAAGCGCGCGTTAAAATCATAGGAAGGAGTACGACCGTTAAATTTCATAGAATGGTTAAAACTTAAAAATATAGAATATACTTTCGAACATAAATAAATGGAGTATTGAATACTTTTGAAATTAATTTATAAACTCTAATGTTAACTCATTTTGTTCATTTTTTACAAATTTTTCCGAGCCACGATTTTCGATGGAGTTATTTCAGTTTTATCGCGCGGTTGCACACTTTTTAACTTAATTACTGTAGTAACTCTATCAACATTTTACATTTCTGTAAAGTGAATTCATTTCTTATCAAACTTCAACTACACCGCCCAAACGTCATTTTCTTGCTTGCTAAAGAAAAACAAAAAATATAAATAAAATGTTGATGTTTACTTTGTAAATACTGTTATTAGAAAATTCGTCAAAAATCCAGCAGGATTTAAAGTTTCTTTTGCTGGAAAATCCAAAAGTATTTTAGCTTATCGCCTCACTTCAACAAGTCGCATTTAGGTCCGCGAGCAAACAAATATCTGTAAGTAGAAGCATAAATGCATAAGCAGAAAAATACAAAAAACAAATATACACATAAACTCGAGCGTAACTGTTTGCTGACAGCTAACTCGACGCAATAGCACACACAAGCCGCCAACTAAAGTAACAACGACAAAGTTATAGAAATTAAAAATTTTCACAAAGCCAAATCTGATGAGCTTATATTCCCTAAACTGCAAGTTTAGCAGAGCGCACCTTCCGAGAAGAGGTTTAATAACAATTTCATACTACTACATACAATGTTCCATGCGGCTTTTCACATTCACATACATACAAACATACATACATAAGTTTTAAATGTGAGGAGATATGTATACATATATACTTATCCAAAGGTACGTACGTTTGTTGTTTCAATCATAAAAGTGAGTAAGTAAAGTATGAATGTTTGTGATTATGACTCTTATTTTTGTGCGCGTTATGTCAGGGATTTTTTAAGCTTTCTATCTTTGTACGAATATCTTCCCTCTTATCTTTTTGACTCGATTACAAAAGCGGTCTGTGTGAGTTAGTGAGAGTTGTAAAATTTATAGGCGAATAATGAAAAAGCGAAAGTAGCTGTAAATAGGATTACCCTCTTGTTGCTCGTGCGTGTAATGCTTGCAGGGGTTGGCTTCTCAAAAGACAGGTGCAAATTTTTCCATCACAATACGTGACAATTTCATTTTTAAACCGAATGGACGTGTTAGTCCCGAGAAACTGAGAGGAAAAAATACCTGTTTCATTAAAATTGCATACATTTTAAATCTTAAATTTTATATGTATTTAAGTGAGGGCTTTTGCTATTTCAAACAAACTCTTCTGAGAATTTTTGTATAATAATAATAATAATAGATTGGCGCTTACAAAAAAAGTGTTGATCTTGTCAAACAAGGGGAGGGGCCTTCTGAAAACTGCAAAACTGCATACCAAAAGTTTTGGTAAAAAGTTCTGAGTAAAAAGCTTGAAATTTTGAGAGACAAATTTTCCTTATTTTTGTACAATGTTTAACATGGTTTTCGGCTATATTTTTAGAAAAATATTTATATTTTAAAATCAGCATTGAATTTTGGGTTATCGGAAAACCAACTTACGAAATATGTACATACATACATACATACCTAAGTTACGTTTTTGGATTTTTTTTTTTAATATTTTCTGCTATATAACGATTAAACACAATTTATTTTAATATGGAAGAAACCCGTAAAATCTTCGAAGAAAAATCTAAAAAATCAACGGTATAATTTTTAGCCATTTGAAACTTGTACTTTATTCTACTAGAATTCAACGGGCTACATAACTGCGTCCTCCCAAATCCTTTTGAGAAGTCTAAATTTTTAAATATGGCACAAAGTTTGAAACTTGGGTTTTCAGCTTTTTTGTTAAAGAATAAACTATAAAAAATAACCAAAATTAAATAGCAAAAAAAAAGTATGTTAAAACTAGCCAATATGTGGTATGCCTCTAGTTTTTTTGTCCACTGTACATACATATATACAGTGACTCAAACAAATTACCACGTGTTGATTTTCTTCAAATATTCGTAATGTTTTTCCAGCAAATTTTTTTTTGTTATTTTTATATAAACATATCGTCCAGGCTTTAACCAAAACCGTGTAAATCACAGTTTTACAACTTTACATAAAATTTAGGAAAATTCAACAAATTTTCATCAAAATTTTAACTTTTTATTCTGAATTTTGAGAAAAGTTTTGGGTTTGCAGTTTTATAGCACATACAACTATTTTATGTTTATATAAAAATAACATCACGAATATTTGAAGAAAATCAACACGTGGTAATTTGTTTGAGTCACTATATGTATTTAAAACCGCATTTCACAAAACATGTTGAATAAGGCCTTGTGCACCGATGATGGGATATGCATTAATTTTTTTTCATACGAACCTTGCCAAGAAAATATTTTATTTGGTAAAAAAATTCAAATATTACACAGGCCAACAAAAATTTGAAAATTTGAATTTAGTCATTTATTGAACAAAANGTTTCATAAGAAAAATCCGTAAACAAAAAAAAATTCTCATAAACCAACGCGATTCTTTTAGCCGACTAAAATTGTATGGGTTATAAAATTGCATACCCAAAAATTTTCTAAAAATTCAGATTAAAAAGTTCTAATTTAGACGAAAATTTATTGAATTTTTGCTAAATTTTGGATAAAGTTTGAAACTGTGATTTACACAGTTTTGGTAAAAGCTTAGACAATATGTTTATATAAAAATAACGAAAAAAACTTAGCTCGAAAAACATCACGAATATTTGAAGAAAATCAACAAGTGGTAATTTGTTTGAGTCACTGTATGTATTTAAAACCGCATTTCACAAAACATGTTGAATAAGGCCTTGTGCACTGATGATGGGATATGCATTAATTTTTTTTCATACGAACCTTGCCAAGAAAATATTTTAATTGGTAAAAAAATTCAAATATTACGCAGGCCAACAAAAATTTGAAAATTTGAATTTAGTCATTTATTGAACAAAAAGAAATTTCGATAAAATCAGTTTTTTTCAAATTTTTGTTGGCCTAGTTGAATTGGTAAAAGTTACCATAGAAAAAAGCGCCCGACGGATTCTCCTTTTTTTTTGGAAAATGGTCAGTGAGGTCCCCCGAAATAGTAGCAACAGGAATCGGCGAAGGGAAGCAACTTGAGGGTGGAAATTGTTTCCAGGGTACCGTGATATATTTACGAGGGATTGTAAATATCGAATCGAGTATCGTTAGATCGAAACTTTCAACTTTCAGTTAGGGCTGAACTCATAAATTATACTTTTGTGTGAATGTATACATACAAATATATTAGCCACAATATAAACAATGCAGACACACACATGTGTGAATTCCCAGCTTTTATTGATTTCATTTGCTTTCTATTTTTCTCGTTTCAGAATTGGCAAGCCATTGTCAACTCATCGCTTGCTTCACTGCTCTTACTCGGTGTCTCGACCACAATTGCAATTGCATTGGTTGTAAATTCCGAGTTGGTGCCGAAAAAAATGTTGCATATAAACAAAATGTCAGCAACAGCAGCGACAAGTGGACGCACCATCACAGCAGTAAAAAAAGAACATCAACATCAACAGCAGCGTCACCGTCACGAGATGAATAAGCGTCGTAACTCTACAAGTGGCAATGACAATGGCAATGGCGCAAACGTGACCACCGCTAACGCCTCCGCAACAACCATCGATGCGACCAGTCTGAGTGCCACCACAAACATAACACAAATCAGCAGCAGTGACGCCGGCGGCGGCAATGTTGCCAGCAATGACAATAGCATTGCCAACGACACTAGCACAGTGAATAGACGCGTTGGTGGCGGCAGCGTCGTAGTTCCGGCGCGTTCTGTCGCCCGCGTGCAAGAGCTCTACTTTCCGGTGAGTGTGCGGGCCGTCATTGGCATTAGTTGGTTGCCGCCACTACTCTATGCCATCACCGTGCCGCTCATATGCAGCATTATTGGCAAATGGCCACGCAATTGGTGGCTGGAAGTGATGAGCAATACAACAGCGGACGCAACAAGAACAACAACAACAACTTCATACTCCAAGTCCGGAGGTCTGTTGGGCATGCATCATGGTTTATCCACGCTTGTAGGCGGATATGGTAGCGGCGGCGGCGGCGGAAGTGATTACTTAGTGGAGCATATGTCGCATTCACCGCCGCCCTCGTCTTCGCTGAGTTTGAAGGTTGAGCCGAACAACATCAGCAGCACAAGCCATATCTATGATGCTATGATGAGCACAACAACGACAACCAGCACATTGGAGGCTGAATCAGTAACAGCAGCTGATGCTACTGCCGCAACGGCAGCGGTTGCGACCGGAATATTAACAACTACCAGCTCTGCAACTGCCACCAGCGACTACAATCAGCATTCTTCAACATATTCGTCGTCTTCCGCCAACTTCTCAACATCCACTGCCATTTCAACCACCTTCTCCGTTGCCGGCTGGCATAATAACTTCCAACCGGCAGCAATCTCCGCATCCTCTTCCGTTACCGCTGCTGCCTACCGAAGTGAATTCTTCGATGTGAACGCGGACGCCGCTGACGCGGAGTCAAATCTCGATGGCGGTGGCGGTGGTGGTGGCCGTGTGGCATCACTCAATTTCATTATATTTATTTGCGTCGATTTGCTATTCATTTTGCTCTTCTGTGCGCTCTTCGTCATTTTAATCAAGAAACTTTTATGGCTGTGGCATAAAAATCGAAATATTCACGCACATCCGCAGGATAAATTCAATGTGGCGATGCGTAGACGGTAAGTCAGTTGCTATTTATTCTTCATTTTATTCAAACACGAGCCACATAAGTAAAGTAGAAACTTAGTTCTATTTTGATGTCGTTGCTATTTTAGTAGTCGATTTATTGCTGGTTTTGCTCGCAAAATTTCTACTTTGCCTTGTTGACTTACGAAGTGGCATAAATTCTTTTTTTATTTTGCCGCAGTTCTTTGTTCATCCAAAATAAGACAAGACATTTCGTCGGAAGCTGCTCACACTTTTATTTTACTACCACCAAAGCTCTGCCGCATAAAATGCAGAAAAGGCTTTGGACCAGTGGCTGGATTCTGTAACTGTGAGTTTTCAAGTTCACACTGAAAATTGTGTACACTCTTCATTTTGCGATTCAGGAAGTGTTAGAAAGAGTTTTAAATGTCAAAATTTTGTACACTTCTCTTCCGAAAAACTCACAGCATTTTATTCGGTAAGTTTTTAGTTGTGAGTTTTGCACGCGGTGTACACTAAATTTTCTCACAGTAACAGAATCCAGCCCCAGGTGCCTATAAACTAGAAATCCGTTTAGCTCATTCCATAATAGTTTGGGGATTGGCAGCATTTGCATAGTGAAGACCAGTAAATTAGGGATTTAAAATTATACCATCGTAATACCTGTTTATTTCTCTATGAAAAAAAAAAAAAAAAACGTGGTTCAAAAAAGTGGGCGTTTTTCAAGAAATATTTTTAAAATATTTTTGTTTATGACGAGATGGTTTATTTTATGAGAATCAAAAATTTTTTGTATTTTTTTTTTCGAAAACTTATGTTAAGATATATTTGGTAAGGTGTTAAATATCGGGTTTTTGCAAAAAGTTAAATTTTATTGCGGATTCCGATAGAATACCTAAGTTAGCTTTAGCTTTAAAACGACGTTAAGATGAAGTCTCTACGATGGGCAGAACCCCAGATATAACGATTTGAAGGAGTACATGATTAGTCAGAATCACCAAAAAAATACAAACTTTGACAGATCATATCTCCAAAGAAAAAAAGCAAAAAAAAATTCCTCGAACACGTGTTAGCGCATTTCATGTATAGAACCCATAAAAAATGTTTAATACAATCGAAAGTGTGACACCAAATTTGGTGTCCGATATGAAAAAGAAGGTCTCATATCTAATAAATTTATTCTATAACGCTTAATACCACACAAACTTTACCGTTAAGTGATAAAAATGTATGTGCATCATTTCACTAAAAACTGTTTTTAGTACATTATTACTCATTTTACTTTGGGTTTCCCTTAAACTGGAAAAAGCCGTGAAAACTTCGAAAAACTCAAATCTTTTATTGACACATCCTGATTTGTATGAACTTTATTCAATATTGGAAAAATCAGGATCTAAAAAAATAAACCGCCTATAGATATCAAAAAAGGGGGTTTGGAAAACCGAGTCAATCATCCTAAAAAATATTCTAAAACCCTGGTTAATTCGATAACAAAACTCCGGTTTGTTCGTTATTAGATAAATCAAAACTTCAAAAAACTGCCTACAAATTAAAAAAAAAAAAACCAACTTGGAAAAACCAAGTCAATCACCCCACATTCCTAATTGTGATATTAGAATGATGTCGTAAGGGTCATATTAATGATAAAAAATATTTCTTTGGTTGTTGTTGTTTGTAAGAAGAGTTATTTATGCGCTTGGTCTTATTATAAGTTTTCATACTGTTAGACAATATTTTGTTGTGATTTCGGGTACCCTAAGCATATATTTAGCCGTTAAAGACGTTATGGCATACGACAATACAACACTTACGACCAGATATTTTAGGTATTTCAAATAAATACAAGTCATTAAAATACAAAACGCTCACTGAGTAGAGAATAGCGAACCTTCGCAATCTTGCAGGCAGGCATAATACATATACATTGACTCAAAAAAGTGTTCGGGTATTGATAATTTTCAAGTTAAATGTTTTTATTGTTTTTCTATAAAAAATAATTTTTAAGCTTTATCCAAAACCATATAAATTCCAGTTTCACACTTCATACACAGTTTTGGAAAGTTCAACAAAATTTTCATTAAAATTTCGAGTTTTTTAAACTAAATATAAAAGTTTTGGGTTTACAGTTTTATAGCGCATACAATTTTAGTATAGTAAAGTGCAAGTTAAAAGCATCTAAAAAATCGTGTTGACTTTTAACATTTTTTTTTTTTTGTGACTACTTCTTAAAACAATTTTTACCGATGCATTTTGGTTGGCAGCTGAGCAGCAAACATCAGCCCCAAAATTTTGCGGGCAAAAAGGTTAAAATTAAAATTTGAATAATAAGACCATAGGCAGACTCTAGATTTAGTGATTAAATTACTAAAACTGTTTCAAACTGGCGTTGATGTTTTGAAATCTTGTTACGAACGGTCTTGCGCATTACATTTCCTAAGCAATTCATGTCTATGTGGAAAACAGTGCATAAGTTTTTGTATTTAAATAATCACCCTCATTGCGAGAGTGGTGTCGTATGCAAGTCGTTTTTCGAGAGTCGAATCGTATCGAAAATTTCACGTCATTGCCTAAAATTTCCACTCGCCTAGTGTATTAAAACGGAAAAACTTGGCAGCACTGTATAGTTTTCGACAAATTTCGTCGTTTACTTTTTTCAGCACGACAGTAAACAATGCCAATGTTGTCGAGTCGTACAATTTAGCCTAATTTACGACTTACGCAATGAGGCTGAATATTTTTAAAATCTCTGCTTACGTTCGCTTGTGAATCACTCAAATAAATGTATGTATATGCTCTTTGTAGACTAACTAACTATAAACTTAATACATACATAATAATGTTTTTATTGTATTATAATGAACTGCATATCAAATAGCTATTTTGGTGATTTATTTTGGGCTATTTACACTCTTTTAATAACGTAAAAATTTAGTAACGTTTATGTCTGTACATTCTATCTTCACTGTGATACCCTACAGTTTATATTTGTTGAGGGGCCATGCCATGTAAACTCGATCAGAGCTATGACAAAAGATTCAAGAGCCAAATACTAGACTGTATGCTGGTTTAGTGCATTAAAAAAATAGTATTTTTAGAAGCCATAGTACATAGTCTACCCACTTCAAATTAGAAGCTAGGCTTGATTTATTAAAGGAATTAATGCTCTAAATTTTCCCACCATTCCTCATCCCTCAGCGAATCACTAAAGAAATAATTACATTAAGTTACCTTACAACCTGTACAGTTATAAGCTGTGCAATTTTTTTTGTTTTTAGTTTCAGCCGTAACATAGATTATTTACGCTTTTAAAAGTGTGCCCTAGCCTTTAAAATTACCACTCGGTGAATTTTCTGGTTTCGTTAATTTTTAGTCATAACACTGATCCGTTTCACATGGATAATATCATTTATATGTTTGTACGTATGCAGGTACCAGTTGTTTATTTATCTACCTATATATGTACACGTCAGGTGAGCTATCGATTCATGTTCCTTATTTTGGTTTCTGATTTCAGCATTGGCCTAATTTACCGCACCGGTTGTTTGCTCGTAATGAAATTATCAACGGATGCATTATTCATTGCATATGTAAATTCAACACAAAATTCATGGTGGTCCTATCCATTTGGCATATCTTGCACTTTATTGGTAAGTACAAATGAGCCTAGAAACATATCTATGTCGAGAGATTTTTAAAAATGCATGCACACATACACATACTATGTATATGTATATTTATGTAAATTTGTATGTTAATTTTGTTTAACCAGAATGTTGTTATCTTTATACATATATAGATAAACATGGAGTTTATCTAGCTGTGTATGTACGTGCTTAACTACGTTTGGTCTACCAATGCGAGGTTAAATAAATGTTTGTGGATGCTTTAGCAAATTCTCATATGAAAAAGATATTTGCGTAGCTAGGAATAGGCATCTGTTACGCCATTTGTCGAATTTTGAACATTTTCATTTTACTTTCATAGTTACATATATACATACATGTGCGTACATATGTATTTGTGGCAGTATTTATGCACACACATAGTATGTCCCGTAAGCAGCCCAAGGCAAACAAAAAAGTTACGTATACGCCCAGACATGCTTTTGCTTATCATCGTATTTGGGTTTAATTGGAATTTTCATGCAAATTGATTCTATTCGCAACAAATGTGTCACTTGGCAGTTACATTGAAAGCAAAATAAGATTATGCAGATGAAAAGTAAAATTCCCACACAAATGGGTACGAATGTTCTTTGCTTGTTCGTGCATACCTAAATACATATCGTCGTTTAAAGTACAAAACCGCGTATCGTCATTCTGCAAAACCGCGTAACTGACATTTGCTGCCAAAATTCGATTTGCTCACACAAGCTCTTGGCTCAATCCTTATCCATTCGCGCTGAAATATACTAGCCAAAAATGCAATTGCTTTATAAAAAAAGAGAACCATTTTGAAATGTGAGCGTTTTTGCTCTCTAGAAAATAATTTATGCAACCTCACATACGCGGTTTTGTATTTTATTGATACGCGGTTTTTTTACTTAAAATGACGATATGTGCATACATATGAATGCAAAAAAAAATATGTATGTATATACGTGCACAACTATGACAAATATTTATATTTTATTCGTTATTCCACGAAACAAAACCTAACCACTTTGCTTTAATTTCATTTCAACTTTGGTAAATTTTATTAATTTGGTAAACTTTATTCTTACATTTTAAAATTTTATTTCTCTTACAATTTACAATTTCGTATATTAAGTCNTTGAATCAATGGGCCGTATGCATAAAACCTAAGCAAATGCTTTTTCTTAAAATTTCAGACCTTTTACTCAATTTTTTTTCAAATAAATTTAAGTGAAAGGTATCAAATTTTAAGAAAAATCAATTGCTTCGTTTTTATGCATACGGCCCAATATATGTATATAATTGCTTTAAAATTTCTTAAATACAAATTTTTCATCAGGTCCCTTCTCCTATTCGTTATCTATGTATTATATTGTTATCCATATAGAAAGACTTTTCCGTATTGGAATCGTAAAATTTTATGATAGTCATAATCGATTTACAAAACTATCGTTATCATTATAGATGTTCCNGATTTCTCTTACAATTTACAATTTCGTATATTAAGTCCTGAGCTCTTAACAGCAGATAACCTTTTGGTGGAAATGGGCTGTTAGAAATACTCGTTTGAATCAATGGGCCGTATGCATAAAACCTAAGCAAATGCTTTTTCTTAAAATTTCAGACCTTTTACTCAATTTTTTTTTAAATAAATTTAAGTGAAAGGTATAAAATTTTAAGAAAAATCAATTGCTTCGTTTTTATGCATACGGCCCAATATATGTATATAATTGCTTTAAAATTTCTAAAATACAAATTTTTTATCAGGTCCCTTCTCCTATTCGTTATCTATGTATTATATTGTTATCCATATAGAAAGACTTTTCCGTATTGGAATCGTAAAATTTTTTGATAGTCATAATCGATTTACAAAACTATCGTTATCATTATAGATGTTCCTACGGCTTAGCGATATCAAAATCAAAAAATTTATCGATTACCGTTAGGTCTAGACCAGAGATTCCCAAACTGTTTTTTCTCGTAGACCCCTTTCAAAACTCTACTGGTTTCGGTGGACCCCGTCTGCTAGATCTAACGATGTAAATTTGCATCTCGGGTGAGTTCCAAAACTAAATTCGGGGTGGTAAAAATAAAAATAAAATATTTTCTTTTGTTCTGTTTATACAAATAATGTCATTACACACTTGCAAGTTTTAAAAAACAGAGCTCGTAAAGCCATTTAAGTCCGCTCTCGCGTTAAAATAGCTTATTTGTGTTGATGGCATCATTTTTCTTTTAACTGCTCGGAGTACTAAACTGGTTCGAAAAATATTTATCACTCACATTCTTAAAACACAAAAACTTTAAATAACAAAACCGAAAAGCTTTTTTCGCCAAACTTTAAATTCAGAAACTGACAAATAAAGAAAAATAAAGAAAAAGCCGAATCGATGACGAAACAACAAAGTAAGCAAGAAGCACAGAAAGTGTTCCGCCGTCTCATCCTCTTCAAGGCAGGATGGGCAAATGGAGTTGTCATTTATGCCTATTGCAGTCAGATGATTGTGCCACGTGAAGCGACTAGTCAGTAGTAAAATAAATAGACCATCTGAGATTAAAGTCAACATGAGTTTTGCCTACCTGCATTCCCTCGATACCTTCTCAGTCATTGCTGAACGAAGTATTCACCCAACTTCTGATGGTGGTGTCGATGGCCGGAGTGGGAAGTGTTATAATTGGTTGCGAATCGAGGAATGCCCGGTCTAAGCCAACTGTGGCCAAATGGTCAGATGTCTCATTACCAGGTACTTTCGAGTGACCTGGCACCCAAAGTATAGGCTTGCATTGCCGAACTTGTTTGGCAGTAGTTAGAGGATTTACCAATGCCTCAAGTGCAGCTTGGCTGTCACTGCAGGCACGTAAACTCCATTCCCTCCACCTATTTTCCACCACTTAGTCCATGGCCTTGAGGATTACAAATACCTCAGCCTGGAATACCGAAGCATATTCTCCAAGAGAAAAGTGAAGTCATAGTGGTGTAACTTTCCTTTACCAATGAATAGATACAAGTGCTCAAATCTCTGCCGGCAGCAATTTCCGCCTCGCCGCACTCAGTATTATAACAACATCCGTCTCTTTTTGGTCTACATGTATGAAGACACGAGGTTACGGTAAGTAAGTTAAATAAAAAGGCCAGATAAATTCCAAAGGCTTGCTTCCACACTTGTTGCGTGCATTGTTGCAATTCGTATGATCAGTCCATAAAAGTGGTCAAATACTGATTATGCTCACGGTAGAATACTGACGGAGGTGTCAGGGCTTCCCAGCTTGGTGGATTACGCACTTTCGAGGCCTGCTTCCACTATATCGTTTACCACCCTCCCTCAAGGAAGGAGTGAAAACAAGACGCTCTAAAGAGTGGCAAGTCCATTCATGTATGCACAGATGATTAAAAGCACGAGGATAGGGTTGGTGTAGGTGTACGCTCCGTATACCTTGTAACCTCATTTTCGTCGTCGTCTTTCATCGACATTTTGGTGGCAATCAAATCTATCAGAAGGAGTCGACAACCTCCATGTAGCCAAGGTCCTTGTAACGAGATGGTTAAGTAATTTCGCCTAAATGTGATATGGCTCCAGGGACACTGCGACATAGAGGGGCACTGTAAGGCTAATCAACTGGCGCGGTTTGGCACCAAACTTCCTTTTGAAAATATAAAGTGCCCTACTCTATCTAGACGTAGACTATCCGCTCTGCAGAGACAATTCTCGATAACAAAATTGAAATTGCTTCCCATTTTTTATGGCTGCGTAGCATTCATAGAATCTATTTTATATATACTCCTAGTTATATCTATTTTCGGTTCTGATTTTTGATGATATTAAATTTTCGATTTTTTCACTATAATTGCCTTCGTTTACCATCATTTTTTCAGTGCAAGTAACAAATCATCGCTTTAATGAGCAAGAAAAACCTCAACCACGTACATATGCAACCAATACAACAAACAAGTTTTATGTATGTACATAGTCTCATTTGTACAAACAGATAAGCAAACAAAGTTACCTTAACCTACAAAAATCGGATTTAAGTTTTTGTTTTTATTGTAGTCCTTGTTTGCTAGAGGTACTTTTTATAGAAACGTATGTATGTATGTATTTAGCTTGTAACTGTCACATGNTCACTATAATTGCCTTCGTTAACCATCATTTTTTCAGTGCAAATAACAAATCATCGCTTTAATGAGCAAGAAAAACCTCAACCACCTACATATGCAACCAATACAACAAACAAGTTCTATGTACATAGTCTCATTTGTACAAACAGATAGCAAACAAAGTTACCTTAACCTACAAAAATCGGATCTAAGTTTTTGTTTTTATTGTAGTCCTTGTTTGCTAGAGGTAATTTTTATAGAAACGTATGTATGTATGTATTTAGCTTGTAACTGTCACATGGCATTTACGCAAATACCACTAAGCCTATGACGCAATTCAGAAAAAAAAATCGCTGACATAGAAAATCTAAAATTTCATCATTTAGCTAGGTAAAGTATGCCCTTGATGATTGGAAAGTTATCAAAAGAGATAATATCTTTAGCTTTAATAACACTGTACAACAAAAACAAAAAATTTCAAAACACACGAAAGCATCGATATACTCACGAGACTATGGGCCAAAAATAGTAAAACTTCGTTTCTAGTTTTTCACTCTGAAGTCAGGATTTCTTTTTTCAAAGGACTTTCTTTGAAATTTTACAGATATGATTAATTTAAAAAATTACAAACAATAAAGCCAAATACAAGGCCGAATAGGTATTGAAAATGCGCTTTTAATAAATTTTATCTCTTCAAATTAATAAAGTTTGCAGGACGAAATTCGATGACGAGGTCATGCGTCCTCAAACAATAATTTTTTCAAAAAAAAAAAAAATATTGCAAAATTTCATTGATATTTAAGGACAAAATTTGAAATGAGATTTTCCATAATCATTCGTCCTTATGCACCAAAAAATTTATTCTGTTATAATTCTGCAGAATTGGTATGTTATATTGCACGGAAGTGTTTAAATA